ATTTTCTACTTCTTGTTACAGAAACTTAGTAGTTTATGTTTTTCTAGAAATTTGTCCATTTCTTATCAGTTATCAAATATGTTGGAATATAGTTTTCCATAGTATATCCTAATAATCTTTATCATTTTTTTGTGAACTCATTGGAAATATGACTTCTTTTTCTCCTGATTTTAGTAATTTGAATCTTCATTCTCTTTCTCTTGGTTAGTTTCACTAAAAGTTAACCATTTATGGTGATCTTTTCAAAGAGCCTTGGTGGTGCAATGATTAAGCACTGAGTTGCTAACTAAAAGGTTAGTGGTTCAAATCCTCTAGCTGCTCTGCAGGCAAAAGATGTGGCAGTCCTCTTCCATAAAGATTATAGCCTTGGAAACCCTATATGACACTTCTTTTCTGTCCTATCAAAGAATCAACTTTTAGTTATAGTGATTTCTTCTATCATTTTTCTATTTCTTGTTTCATTAATTTCTGTTCTAATATCTATTATTTATTTCCTTATTCTTGCTTTAGGTTTAGTTTTTTCTTCTCTTACAATTGTCTTGGAGGGAAAATTATGCTATTAATTTGAGATTCTCTTTTTTTCTAAATATTTGTGTTCACAACCAAAAATTTCCCTCTAATGAGAATTATAATAACACTCCATAAGTCTATTAAAATCTTTTTTTACAATCTGTTTTTTATAATTTGAGGTTATATAATAAGGTGGATAAAAGTTTAGAGATATCATATCTTCCTAAAGAACAGAATTTACTTTCTAAAATGTTCTTGTTAGGCTCACTGATACTATTTTCAACTGAACTAGAAATATTAAGCCTAAGAAATGTAAATAAAGGACATTTTCTAATGAAAGGAATTTTCATTCTTTCAAAATAATTTGTTTGAGATGTATCCATATCAAATTTTAGAATTTGTCACTACATATCTCCATTTCCATTCAAGTCCTTCAATTCTGTTTTATATACTACCATTTATGACTTTAATGCAAACTATCATTTTCTCTTAGCTATGAATTCAAGTATCTTTCACTTGCAAATGCAACACACTGCTGTCAAGTCGGATCTGATTCATAGTGACCCCTCTTTGGGTTTCTGAGGTAGTATCACAATGGAAGTAGATTGCCCAACTTTCCTTCTAAGGAGTGGCTGGTGGGTTTGAACTGCCAGCCTTCTGGTTAGCAATCAAATGCATCAGGCACTGTGCCACCAGAGCTCCTATCTTCCACTTATACTAATATTTTCTCTAGTAAATTACAGCTTCAACTTTTTCTTATTCAATTCTATGATCTTTTTTTTTCATTGCATGACCTTTTTATATGCTAAATATATCAATATTCTTTCTCTTAGAAGTTATCTACACTCTTTCAGTGTATTTGGTGAATTTTAGAATTTTGTATAAACAAAAATGAGTAAAGCTAAGAATTTTATTTCTTGAAAAAATCTTAATATTGAACTCTTCATATCACTAATATTTTCTTGTCCTAAATTCCACTTTGCTTTGTATAATACAATCATCATATACCTTTACATTAAAAGAGATTATCAGGTTAGTATCCAAACCATATAACAAGAATTTTATTTTCAACTAGTGCAAATTTTTCATGCAATGTATTTAATTGGTGTTGCTCATCTATCAGCAATTAACAGTTCTGGAGCAACTAGAAATTAAATTTTTATCAACTTCTACAGTCTGAAATTAACAAAATATTCAATAAAGATGCACTGATCATTACTGGTGATTGGAATGTGAAAGTTGGAAACAAAGAAGAATCAATAGTTGAAAAATATAGCCTTGGTGATAGAAATGACACCTGCACATCACATTATATAATTTTGCAAGATTAATGACTTATTCATTGCTAATGTCTTTTTTCAATAATACAAATGGTGACTATATATGTGGGTCTCATCAGATGGAATGCACAGAAATCAAATTGACTACAGCTGTGGAAAGAAACAATCATCAGTCAGAATAAGGCCAGGAGTCATCTGTGGAACAGACTTTTAATTGTTCATATAAAAGTTTGAATTGAAACTAAAGAAAATTAAAGCAAATCTACAAGAGCCAAAGACAAACTTGAATATGTTCCACCTGGATTTGGAGACCATCACAACAACAGTTTTGATGCATTGAATACTGATGACCAAAGACCAGACTAGTCATGGTATGGCATCATGGAGAAAGCAAAAGGTCATTAAAAAGAGGAAAAAGAAAGAAAATACCAAAATGGACATAAGAAAAGGCTCTGAGTCTTGTTCTTGAATGTAAGTTACATGAAAAAGATCTAACAAGGATTAGTGGATGCACTCCTTATAAGAAATTAGTTAAATTTTCCATCAATATTTAGCTGGAACTAGTATAAAAGAATTTGCATCTTGAAAGAACCCTTCAGTTTGAGATGGTCTTCTCTACACATGAGTCACCATTTTTATGCAAGTGCAGGGCAGGCTGCACTTTTGATGTTTCAGTCAAACAGCACTCAAGAGATGCTAAACAAACTTCAGGATGGTGTCTTAAGCTTGTGATTCATAAAATCAAATGGTGAGCAGGTCATAAAAATGGCTTACCCAAAGTTCTCAGTCATTAAGAATACATTCCTGCCGCTTGATTTTGAATTGTAAAAGTACTTCTTTGTCATCACCCCACTCCCTGTCCCAGGGACGTTCTTCATGGAATTCAAGTTTTCTAAGAATTAGTGTCCTAAATTTTCTCTTAAATAGAACATAGATGAGTTTTCCAGTTTTTATAAAGTATTTATACGCTTTATTGGTTAGTATGAAATGTAGGTAGGCAGAATAGGCAGGTTTTCAATATAGTTTACTCAAAATCTGCATTGAAAACATTCATGGACCAAGGAGGAGATTACAGACAGAAAGACTAACCTTGAATTTTGTTTAGCTGGCCAACAAGTTGAAAAATCACTTCAGGGCATGGTGAAGTCAATGTGACTGCATACCAATTTACCTCCTATTATTTCCTCCCATAATGATACAAAATTATAAGAGAAGAAAGTAAATTCTCCCCCAGAGGTAGGCAAAATCTTTCTGTAAAAGACCAGACAGTAAATATTTTCAGATTTTAAAGCAATAAGATCTGTTAAACTCCTTGATTTTTCCATCAAAAAGAGCCATAGGAAATCTGCTATGGGTTTGGCTTTATTTCAATGAAATATTTAGAAAAATATTCTCACTCACTGCCATTGGTCAATATTGACTCATCGTGACCCCCACTGTGTTTCCAAGGCACTAACTCTTTATGGAAGTAGATTGCCCCATCTTCCTTCCACAGAGTGGCTAGTGGGTTTGAACCACCAACCCTCTGGTTAGCAGTCAAATGCCTTTGACACAGTTCCACCAGAGCTCCTTAAAAAAATATTGCTTGGGTAGATTTTGTTCTCAGGCCTTAGTTGGCTGACTCTATGAAATTGTCATTAAACCAAAACAAACAAACAAACAAAAAAAAAAACTCACTGGAGTCAGTAGGACCCGACTCTTACTCACCCCCTCCTTGGGTTTCTGAGGTGGTATCACTACGGAAGTAGATTGCCCAGTCTTCCTTCCGAGGAGTGGCTGGTGGGTTTGAACTGCCAAACTTCTGGTTAGTAGTTAAATGCCTTGGGCACCACACCACTAGATCTCCTAACATTGTCATTACTCCTAAGATATTCCTATGCAAATTCAAAGAAGTATTAATAAGGTCTTTCCCTCAAGCTGGGCAAAAACTCCAAGTTTTGAAGACTACATGACCTCTAGTGTTTATGATCATCTCTGTGTCTTGTTACAGTCTCTAGTAACCCAGGACTAGTCTTAACATGCACACATTCACTCAGTCCCTCAGACAAGGAAGCAAGGAGAACTCTCCACAAAGCACCCTATACCCAGAATCCTCTTCTCTGTACCCTGGCTTGCATGCAGCATGAATCATTTCTTGTGACTGAATTGTGGTATTTGCTAACTCACCTCTGAGAGATAGATAATCATGATGTTTTTAGTCTCCAGCTTATCTTGTGTAATCACTATTGCTCTTTGTAGGCTCTCTTATTGAATTTCCCTTCTTTGGAGGATTGTAGATTTGATGTTCTTGTTGTCAAAAATGTAATCACATAGTTTTTCAAATTTTATGGGTACTTGGGACATGTTATTTAAATTTTATGGTGCCAAATACTCTGACAGAGTTAGAATAAAAATCCACTTGTTATTTTTATTCTTGTTTCATTGTGTGTGCATGTGTATGTGTGTGTGTGTGCTGTTGTTGAGCAAACATGATCTAAATGCTTCTCCTGTTTTTGAAAGTAAACCTTCTAAATATTCTGGCTTGTTTGTGTTTTTCTTGCATCATATTTGTTTCCAGATTTCTATTATTTATTTTCTCCTTTTGTTTATAATATTTCCTAGTTACTTTTGTTTGTCTATTATGTGTTCCTTTGTTTTGAATATATTTGTATTAATACTTTAAACCAAAGACCATTTTTTAATTATATTTAATATGTTTCTTTTGGTATTTTTATGCTTAAAGTAAGGGATAGTAGAAAAATTATTGTCCCAGAATTTCTCCGGTCTAATAGTTACTGTTTTCATACAGTGATATAATTTCTCTTTGAATGTTGTTGTTGTTGTTATGTGTCATCGAGTTGGACCCAACTCCTAACGACCCGTCCTTGGGTTTCCGAGGCAGTATCACTACCGAAGTAGATTGCCCCATTTCTCACGTATAATAGATACTATTTTCATAGAGTGATATGATTTCTCTTTGAATAGCAGTGAAAAAGTAAGTGAAAGAGAATGGAAGATTTTATTTCCAGGAAGTCCTTTCTCAACTTCTTTTAGAGATGGAAGGAATTTTAGTTGAGAAAGAAAGGAATGACTTGATGAGGTATGGTTCATGAATTAACATGCAAAGGGCCATGAGAAAATTAAACTTATTCAACTGGTTAGGACTTCAGACGAAATATTTAGGAGCTAGTCTTTCATTATCATTTGGTTGCTCAAATTCAGTACACTTACCTGTGCAAGAGGAATGCAATTTTTTTAATCATATCATTGAAAGCTTGTTTCACCTGCTTATTTCTCAAGGTATAAATGAAGGGATTCAACAAAGGAGCAACAGAGGTAGTGAGCACAGATACCCCTTTATTAATGTCCACCTCCTCTTTGGCTGAAGGTTTGATATAGATGAATATACAGCTACCATAGCTGATGGAAACAACAATCATGTGAGAAGAACATGTGGAAAAAGCTTTTTTTCTTTGCTGAGCAGAAGGGAATTTTAGAATTGTCTTGATGATATATATGTAGGAAAGAACCACACCTACCAGTGTGATAATGAATGTCAACACTGCACAAATTATCACCATTTGTTCTATGAACCATGTGTCTGAGCATGAGATCTTAAAAAGAGGAGCTGCATCACAGCCAAAATGATCAATGGCATTGGAGTCACAGAATTCCAGCTGGAGGCCCATACCAAGTGGTGTGACGATGATCATCAACCCGGAGATCCAGCAGCAGAGGACAAGGATGGCACAGACTCTGTTATTCATGATGGTCGTGTAATGAAGGGGCTTGCAGATGGCCACATAGCGGTCATAAGACATGGCAGCCAGGAGGAAAAACTCTGTGGCCCCGAAGAGTCCAATGAAAAATATTTGACTGGCGCAAGCATTGTAAGTAATCGTGTTATCTCCAGTTGATATACTGTATAGGAATCTGGGAATACACACCGTTGTGAATGAGATTTCTAAGAAGGAGAAGTTTCGAAGAAAAAAATACATAGGTGTTTTAAGGTGGGAATCCGTGAGGGTAAGAGTGATAATCGTCAGGTTTCCAGTTACACTCAGAATATATGTTAAAAATAAAAAGATGAAAACCAGAATTTGCAGCTGTGGGTCATCTGTAAGTCCCAACAAGATGAAAGTTGTTACTGCTGTATGATTTCTCATTACTACCTTTAATATTTTAGGAAGTCTGCATGGAAAAAAAAAAAAAAAAGTCAGATAAAACATGTGAACCCTTCTCAGTTATGAGAAATTGTATAGCTCACCAGAAATAACATACCAAATGACCTCTTTCTCTTATTCATTAATAAGTAATATATATAATCTTATATAGTAATCTATCTAAATGTTATTCTTAAACAGACTCTACTAAAAAGAGATTTCAGCTTTTATTCATTTTCCTTCCTAAGAACTGACATCAGCTTTTATCTTTTACATCTATTGCTTATAAAATTGACTTTTTTCTCTTTTTAACAAAACTTAGTATTACATTTTCATTTTCTCTGTAATACTCTTAAATACCATGAATATTTCTCTTATAATACATGTTATCCCATCTTCAAATAGATAACTAGAAGAGTTAGTAAACAACAAAATTAACAAGGAAATAAACAACAACAACAACAACAAAAAGCACCTTAATCTCTCGGAAAGCATCAAAATGATAATGGGGCAGTGAGGAGTTTGAATAAAGCTACACACAGAGGTATGATCCATATTTGAGAACATATATCCCTTTGAAGTATTTGTTATTATTCATCTGAAAAGATGATATGCTTTTGTGACTCTCATAGGTTTGAGTTGAAAAACTAAATGGAATACAGAGTTTACCAAATATGAGATTATCAGGGAAATATCATGCACTTTCAATTGGGATATTCAAAGGCTATAGTAGTTATGATAGATAGAAATTACACCATCTTTCCTAATTAGCTCACTTCTTGATTGGATAAAAGTGATATGGACTAACTGATTCCCAGAGGAAATAAAGTACTAATGGGAAGAACAACTTTTCATTCAGTAATCCAAATTATTCCTAAAATACTTCATATGTAATATTAAAAGTCATTGAAGGAGACATGACAACATAACTAAATGCTATGAGAATGAAACAAATAGAAGATATTGTAGTTTTCAGGGATAGACATGTTGGAATAACTAAATTTAATATACACATGACTTTATATTACAGGAAGAAAAATTTCCATGGGAAAAATGAACAGAAATTAGTTAAAAAAATGCAAGTTAAAAAATATACACAAAAAATTAAAAAAGTTTTTAGATAGAAGAATGATTTGAACACAGCTGAAAAAAGAATATACAAATATACATAAAATTTAGCATCTAGATTAAAGTACAGAGAGACAAATAGATGGACTACATATAAAAAAAACATACAATACATATAAAGGATTCAGTAATAGTCCAAACAATTGTGTAATCGGAACACTAGATAAAAGACAGAAAAGGAAAGAAGATGCAATATTTAAATAAATAATGGCTGAAAGTCTTTTACTTCAACTCAAGATGAAGTAACAATATTTCAATTTCTTTTCCCACCTGAAAAAATATTTTTAAGAGACATAAAAATACATGCGAAACAACAATCTGCAGTTGTTAGACATCAGGTAGCAAAGGAGAGTAATTTCTGAGGAAGAGAAACAAGTTAGATAAATGAACAATGAACAGTTTATTGACTAGTGTTTTCTTGCTGCAGCACAGTGAGTGGAAATACAGGAGCAGCCTGGTCGGTTATCTTCCAAAGCTGAAAAGACTAAGCTATGAATTTGGCCAGGACAAGACAGCTACATTACACATAGCAGAGTACCAGAGAGGAGTTATATGGAAAAAACAATCTCTGGAGATCTTCAAAAAGGAGCACACAGGTCTTCCACTGAGTATTATTCATTGAATGGATGTGAGGAAACTACTGAGGCTGGAAAAGAACCACCAAAAATTAACATAAAAATTCTGAAGATTAAATTAGGCTAGGAATAGTTCCTGTTTCCATACTTGCATGCAAAAACTCATAATTCAAGGAAATTTGTTATAGTGCACAGAAGTTTATTGCCTCAGTTGTGCAGCAAAATAATCTTTAGACTAAAATGAGCTGTTATGTTCCGACTTAACAAAGACAAAAATAAACCTCAAAAAAAAAATTATTTCCAAGTAATATAATTCTATTGAAGAACACAGCTTAAGAATAATTGAAGAAACACAAAAATATCCAGCATCAAAGACTTCATGATGTTTGAAGTCTAATGTAATGTTAATAGGTACACAAAGAAACAAGCATTTACAAACTCGGATAAGAAGAAATACAACAACAGACTGTGCAAAATCATGCCTGGTAGAAAAAGTGGAAAATAAAACTATTATAACTATTTTCTATATACTCAAGACAATAGAAAAAAATGAACATATTGAGTAGAGACATAGCAGATATTAAAAGAAACATGTCAAAATTAGAGATGAAAAATCCAATTTCTGAAATGAAAAATATGCTTGATGACATTAACAGCAATTTAGACACTGCGAAAGGAAAATTACTGAACACGAACAAATAGCTATGGAAACTTTCCAAAAATAGAACAAATGGAAAAAAAATGAAAACAAAAATGAAGAGAGAGCATCAATGTACTTTGGGAAGTTTCTGAACTGCCTAACTTATGTGTAAGTGGAGTCACCAATGGAGAATGGACAGAGTGAAAGAGAAAAAATACATGATGATATGGCTTTCTTTCCAGTCGTTAAGTTCTTCTATGTATTATCCTTATCCCAGAACTGTATCAGATTGCTTATTTAGTTCCCTCTCTTCCTTTAGTGCACAATATTCTTCAGATAAGATCCTATATGGTTCATAATTGCATACTCATCCTATCGCATTGCTGGAATATTATAATTTCTCAGGATATAAATAAAAATGATAGATATTTACAAAGACCAGGATATCTTATTTACTCAAATTTCAAGATTTTACTTGAGAGATTTCTTGTACTCTGAGAGTCTATATAGAAAGTAAGGCAATCATATTGAAGACACTACCTTCATTATAAGTGTTTGGTACATAATATATGTCCTCCGAACATGTCTGGTAACATAATGTCTAAGGCATTTGACTGCTCACCAGAAGGCTGGTGGTTCAAACCCACCAACCACTCCTCAGAAGGAAGGTTGGGCAATCTACTTCCATAGTGATACTGCCTCGGAAACCCAAGGAGGGGTCGCTATGAGTCAGGTCCCACTCCACAGCACATAACAACAACAACAACATGTCATTATAACAACTTTTTGAACAGTAAGACATAGTCTCTCAATTTTTCAGCTTAGTAATCAAACCTCACAAGTATTTTCAATTAAATTCTTTTTTTATACTATTGTCTGTAGGAGATTTGGTGTCAGACAAGGTTTGCAATTGGCTGCCAACTGAAAAATTGGCAGTACAAACCCATCCAGTGACTCCATAGACCAAAAAACCTGACGATCTGCTTCCATAATTATTATAATCAACAAAATCTTGTGGAAAAATTCTACTTTGTAATGATTATGATGTTTTCATGAGTCACTGGCTGACTTCAAGGCAGCTAACAACAACAGTGTAGACTTTTTGGAGAAAATAAGCAAAGAAGCAGAACAAAACAAAACAAAAAAACGGGAATCATTAGAAAAAGCAAAATAAGGTTTTATAAAGTTCTAGACTATGAACTGATGATAGCTTCCACTCTATTCAAACCCACCAGCCACTCCTCAGAAAGAAGGTTGGGCAATCTACTTCTGTAGTGATACTGCCTGGGAAACCCAAGAAGGGGTTGCTATGGGTTGGATCTGACTCTGACTTGATGGCAGTGAGGTTTTTTGTTTTGTTTTGTTTTGTTAAAAGGCCCCTTAATTTTATCACGGAAATTCCTTTAGATTTCACTGATTGTATATAGGGCCAACTACCCAGATTGTAGGAGCTCTGGTAGCATAGTGGCTAAAGCACTTGACTGCTAACCAGAAGGCTGGCGGTTCAAACCCACCAGCCACTCCTCGGAAGGAAGGTTGGGCAATCCTACTTCCGTAGTGATACTACCTCGGAAACCCAAGGAGGGGTCGCCATGAGTCAGGGCCAACTCAACAGCACATAACAACAACAACAACACCTAGATTGTGGTCCACTTTGACTGGAATTAGCATTTCTTTTGGTTGGTATCTGATTACATGATTCAAACCAAACTCATTGCTATCGAGTTGATTCTGACTCATAGCAAGTCCCATTAGGTGTCCAATCTACTTTACAAAGGTAGATTGCCCCACCTTCCTTTTGCGGAGTAGCTGGTGGGTTTGATCTTCTGGTTAGCAGCCAGCCAAATGCCTTCTCCACTATGCCACCAGAGCTCCTTTTGTGATTACATGATTGTTGTTGTTGTTATGTGCCATCAAGTCGAGCAGTATCACTATGGAAGTAGATTGCCCCATCTTCCTTCCGAGGAGTGGCTGGTGGGTTTGAACCGCCAGCCTTCTGGTTAGCAGTCAAGTGCCTTAGGCACCATGCTACCAGATTACATGATTAGTTCCTATCAAATTCTGCTCCCTGGTTTCTTCCCTGGGACAACTGCCCCTGAGGGAATCTATATAAAATAGCCAGCATTGAGGGTTTCTAAACATTATCAGAGAGAATAAACACTGCTATAAGCTCATGAACAAGAAAAGAAAAAAACATTGTCTAAAGCTAATACCCTATTCTGTCCTATATCCCATACTTGAAATATCTCCAAAAGCTCACACTGAGAAACAGTAATGTTCTTCACAGGCCACCTTACTTCTTTCTAGTAGCCATCTTCTCTTCATCCCCCATTGTAACCTCTAGTTAAAGTTCTCACTAATCTTGGTTATTATCCCAGGACACAAAGCAATTCTTTTGTCCTTCTTTTTGCCTACTTTGGAATCCTGCCTTAGAGATAGTCTAGTTATCGTGCAGATATAATTTCTGGTTAATATGCTGAGACTTCAAAGAGTGTTTTAACAAAGATAATATATTTTATAAATGAAATGCCAGACCATTGTTCACTAAATTTGGGAGTTATATTTATGTTTTTGAGATTGTGTGTGCATGTGTGTGTGTGTGTGTTTACAATTAGAATAGCAGATGTTACCTTTGACGCCTATTTCATTGTCCACGTATT